ACCTTAGTTTGGAGGAAAAAAAAAGTTAATTCTGACTAAAACTAACAGCTTGTCTTAGGAGGGCCAAGGACAAAGTGAGTTGTTGCCTCCTTAAAACAGCTTCAAATTTCAAAATTTGTTAGCATTTCACACCAACACTGATTTAAAAAGCTTTGCTCTGCTGTCAGTTTCACATTACARGGTTATTCCAGCAGAAATGGAATGTTATTCCTGCCGGGGTTGCTACAGCTAGCTGTTGCTATTTGGGTTAGCAAATGACCACATTTTATCTAAATAACCGTGTAATAAGCAGCTGATAGCCGCACAGGCTCCTACTCAATGGAGCAAGTGGTTCAACTGTTCCTTCCTTTTTTAAAAGTAAAACAACAWAAACATCTTTAACTATTTCACTCATACGGACACATGCCAAAATAATAATTTTAATAAAAATTGCTACATTCTACACCCCTCCCTCAGCTTTGAGTTGGTTCAGTCCAACTCAGCTGAACATCGTTAGTTGCTAGCTCAATAAACAGCATTCAGCTGTGGATGTTTGAAAGAAAAACTTTGTTTTTAAAGCTTAATCAGACAGAATAAAGTAAGAACACTGAGTGATATTAGGCTCTTTAGGAGTGCAAATTCAAAGTGAACTATAAATCTCTTTATGCTGATTTTACATTGACATCTACCCACAGCTCATTGTAGATGGTTATTTTTGMGTTAAAATTAGACTGAATCTGGCTTCATGTTTAAATAAATGATAGTATTTTGCTACACTTGGTCTAAAAAAAATGAAATAACCTTGACTGGTTTTTGTCTCGTCCCTTTCAGTTCCAGGCCAACCAGGCAAGTTTAAGGTGGGGAAGGTGACAGACACCAGCATCGAGCTGACCTGGGAACCCATCTACAACAAGGAGAAAATCATCAAGTATGAGCTGCTCTACAGGCCCGTCAAGTTCGGCAGCGTGGTGAGCTCTCGTTCTCTTCTCTCCTATCAGTGGGATTCTGAACAACACAAAGAGCGCAAGACTTGGAAAAGTCTGTATTAGTCACATGATCCAACTAGAGGGGTTGAGAAGAGGACTGTTGACTGTGTGGAAAGCCAGAACGCAGGGCAGAGATAACAGCACCTGRAGCAGGGAGGAGGATAGGGAGAGGTGGCAAACTTATTTTTAGCAACAGAGCGGGTTGGGAGATGGTTATTAAGTTGACCCCCCTCCTCTGACGTCTTCTCCCGTCTCTATCCGCCGCTCGTCTCTCCTCTGTGTCGCAGGCGACGCTGAGCTTCGAGCCGAGGAACTCCTACACCGTGGAGGGTCTGAAAGCCAACACGGAGTACTCCTTCTCCCTGGCCGCCATGTCAAGCAAAGGCATCGGAGCGTTCACTAATGAGCTGGTGCAGAGGACGTCACAGGCCAGTACGTCCTCAGCTCAGTCCAATTTACAGAATTTACCTGCACAAACACACACACACACACACACACACGCACACCCTGCACATTTTAATTGTGTCATATTTCACTGTTGTGCAGTAAATTTTGATGCAAATGTTTTGACTTTATGCTAAATCACACAAACGCATCACATTATCCTCAAGCGCCTGACTCGGTGGGAACTCACTTCTTTCCATGTGGCTTATGTTTCAACCTTATCCTCTCCTCCCATCCATCCATCCATCCGTCTATCCATACATACATCTATCTATCCACATGTGCCTTCCTTCTGCCGTGCAGCCACTCTTTTTCTCCACAGCCATGGCAACATGACAGATGGAGACAGAGCTCCACCCTTTCTTCTCCTCACCCTCCTTTCCCTTTTTTTTCCCACTCTTTATCAGTGTTTAATATCTCTGAAAGCCTGAAACTGTCTGCCATTTGCTGGCTTGCTGCCAGTGTTGTGGAGCATTAAAGCCCGATGAATGGCCTGTTGTGTTGACAAGTAAGTACTGCCCAATCTGCATTTTTTTTTCTTTTTTAATTTGAAACACATGACTTGGATTCTTTCCCTTGTCTCTTTTTCTCTTATTTTTTTGTCCCCACACAAACGTTGTTAGTTGAGAGGAGCCGAGTAGGTGCCACTGTGTTACTTTGGCGTATAAAGTCAAACCTGCCCTCATGAGGACAAAAGGAGATAACAGAGAAAATGGCACAAGGGAAAGAKTTAATAAAGTAGTGTCAGGCGAAGGTTCTGCCGGGCGCGGCGCCTGGAACGGGGTGAGTTTTTTGGCAAGTATTTCTAACAACTCAGCCGAAAACAACTGGTTTATTTTATTTTATTACTTTTCCCTAAGAAAAGAACAATAGCAGGTGGCACATCGAAGCTTAGTGGGGGGAAACATTCAGTTYTAAGAAGAAATTTTTTTAAAAAAGGGTGCTTGATAAGCAGACTTATTTCATGCATCAGAATTCATTTTCCAGAGAGGTTTAGGTGTGCTTTGTTATCGCTAAGCTTTGGTGCACATCTAGATTGTCCCCCGAGGCCAACAGAACAGTGGCTGTACGGCTGAGCGAATAGATACTTGAACCTGTCAGCTGTAACTATTACACTCACGCGTACACATGCCTGAACGCCGCGGGAGCCGCAGCGCCTCGGCCGCGCCGCTACGACAGCTTTATATAAGGTGAGTGATATCTGTGATTTGCAGAGGTGTGGGTGTGCGTTTTTCTTCATTGTATGTATTTGCGGGCCCACGTCTGATTTGCTCTGACCCCGGACTCTCCGTCTCGGTGCCTTCAGTCTGCCTCCTAAATCATTGTGGCTGCTCTGTTTTTGGTTTGTTTTATCTCCTCCTCTGTGAAACTTAAGACCTTTTTCTTGTCAGGAGAGGAAAAGTCTCACACCACTCCATCATCTCGAGAAGTTGCCACCGGGGTGGGGTGGGGTGTTAGGAAATACATATATTTCTCTCCTTACTCCTGTGTGCTCTGATGTGAATCTGTGTTTGTAAATCCTAAAACAGACAAAGCTCATCTGGATCCCTTGATTCCCCACCAGCTACAGCCAGATGATAAAATACAATCATCGGCTATCAGAAGCACATTCMCCTTGCATGTAATTAAGTTGTCCACTTCAGGGTCAATACCCTTGTCTCTGGTTTATTTCATTAGACTTTAAGCAGAACATTTTGCCTATACATTATGTGGTTGCGCTCGTCTCCTTCTGTTTATGCCCAACCCACTTTTGCTCGATTGTTATCTTGTTCCGTTCAGTTTACTTTGCTTTCTTTTTTTGTCTTTTATCCTCATTCCCCATCTTTTTTTACGTGAATTTCCCCCTTTCTTACTGTTTTTTTTACTATTCTCCTAAAAAAWTGTTCCTCCTAAACTCTTTGCCAATTTGCCCTCCATGGTCCTTATCCATTTCAAGAACCCTCCGCCGCCCCCGAGGGTGTGTCCTGCGAGCGCGTCAGCTCCACCTCGCTCAGAGTGAGCTGGACGCCACCTCAGCTGGAGGCCCGGAACGGCGAGTTGGCAGGTTATGAGCTCAAATACCAGAAGGTTTCTGGGGCAGGAGGAGGAGGTCAGGGTCTGGAGGTGACGGCGCCTCCTGTCCCAGCCCACCTTGAACAAACTGTGCTTGAGGGGCTGGAGAAGTGGAGCTGGTACAATATGACAGTAGCGGCCTCCACTGCAGAGGGGGCCGGACCCACCAGCCCAACTGTGGTCTGCAGAACCGATGAGGACGGTAAGAACGTTAGCCYACATTAAACCTCACTGATTGTCTGCTTACCTCCTAGCTTACACCTGTTGGCCATCCGTGTGCGCTCTTTCAGTTCCTGGCGCCGCCCCCCGTCAGGTGGACGTCCAGCCACTGAACTCCTCGGCGCTCCGGGTCACGTGGCGCTCGGTGCTGCCACGGCTACGGCACGGCCAGGTCCGCGGCTACCAGGTGCACTTCAGCCGCGCGGAGAGCGGCGAGTCGCGCACTCTGCCTCAGATCAAAGACCTCCTACTGGACGACTCCCAGGTGACGTCACACCTCTGGGTTTGAAAAGACGAAGCAACGCTCGTCTGTCCTATCTCCTCATTCCTTCCCTTCTGACTCACTCACTTCTCTCCTTCTGTCTCGGCTGCCTACGGGGTGTGTTTCATCTGCGCAACAAGATGGAGGAGAATGATTCCACTCTGTATGTAAGGGCCTATCTGTTTCTCATTACAAATGAGCTCATGAGTAATACACACAGCACGACACATCCAGTGTATTAAAATCCAATTTTAGTTTGACCACCATGGGTTTGAACAGACCCCCTTCACTGTGTAATGGGATCATTTATCACTGAGATGTGTTGAATAAATCTGTTTGCTTAAAATAGAGTCTTAGTCTTTGATATTTTTTCCACAGGAGCTGATTTTGGGAGGTTTGAAAGCAGAGACTTTGTACTCCGTCTCAGTGGCTGCATACACCACTAAAGGGGATGGAGCTCACAGCAAAGCCAAGCTAGTGCAGACCACTGGGATTGGTAAGCATATGTCAAGTATATAGCACTCTGGATTTAGTAACACACTCAGGAATTGATCTTACAGCCGGCTGTACCGAGAGACAGCCATAAATAAACAGCCCGATCAATCCTAATTTCTCTGCCAGATTTACATGATATATGGTTTTATAATACATGCCAACATACTCATTTTCTGCTGCCTACGCTGTTGTTCACAGTGCCCGGACCCCCCTCCCTCTGGGTGCGTCCAGGATTGGGTTCATCCGTGGTGCTGAGGTGGGCTCCTCCCCAGGATTGCTCTGGGACTGGTTCTGACAGCCGAGGGACTCCAGTGGAAATCCGGGGCTACCGCCTCCAGTTTGGCTTGAAGAACAGCTCTTTGAACAGCACGGTGGATTTCACGCACCGGGAGAGAAACTTCACCCTCAGAGACCTCTCCCCAGGCTCCTCCTACCTGTTCGCCCTCTCCGCAAAGAGCCGAGCAGGCTATGGAGAGGCGGCTCGGCAGGAAATTGCCGTCCCTATGTTCCCGCCCTCCGGATACCCCAGACTAGCTGACTTTGTTAACGTGACGTGCTGCTCCCTTCAGTTCTCCTGGCTGCCTCCTGCCCCAGARGAGTCCGACGGTGTCCTAACCGAGTACACCGTCTCTTACAAACAAGCTGCCACCCCTGGACTCTCGACTGACCCAGGCTCCTCCGCCATACCCAGTCCTCCCACTCCCCCGTGGCTCGTCACACTCCCAGCGAGTGAGTCCAGCTACATCATCGTAGGCCTCAATCACAGCACGGCCTACGAGGTGCAGCTCCGAGCCCACAACAAGGCAGGGCCAGGCCCTTTCAGTCCCCCTCTGCTGTGCCTCACCCTGGCCTTTGACACAGGTAGGCCTCGGGAACCCCCTTCAACTCCTAGGCACTGGTTAAACGTCACACCAACACCCCCCCTCCCCCTGTATTTTTTACAACGTTCCCCTCAAAACGCTAAACTAATTGAAGTCTGAGCCAGTTCTTACAGGTCTGCCTTTTCAACCAYTCCCAAAACTAAGAGAGACGGAGACCTGCAAAACCCAAAGGAACAAATCCCCACCCCCCGAACTCCTCCACTCACTCACTTGTACCTTCATCACCTATACCCTTTCACCACCAGTGGGAGCAGGCTCAGCGTTAATGGATGTTTGCTTCCAGAGCACTGCTTATCACAAACCCTCAGGTAAAAGTCGATACAGAGCCGTGGGTATACAGTAACTACGAGTGAAGGTAAGTGTTCGGTCTTACTTGAAAGGAACACTGGCGCCTGCCGCTGTATGTCCAGGTAAGCCATTTTTATCTGATAGACCTTCACTGCCACCTTTTTTTTCCCAGAGCCTTTTGCTGACAGGCCGAATTCTAAGCAGAGCAAACACAAACTTACACTCCGACGACGTGGCATGTCACATTCCTGCAGCCGATCTGTCTGTTACTTGTGTTTCTCTTGTCATCCACTCTCCTTATCACCTGCCCATRCTCCTAACCATCATCTTTTCCTCCCGGAATAACACATCAAACTCTTCTTCTTTGTTTTGTTTTGTTTTTTTGTTTTGGCACACTTTTGCAGGTTTGCCATGCAATGAGAAAACAAAAGATCCTGAGATGTATGTTTTTTGAAATCCAGCACACATGACTTTTGTTTTCTGTCTTCTCTTGTTTGTTTGTTTGTGTTCTAGACGTGCCGAGGAACTTTTCAGTCAATCTGGCCACTAAGACCAGCGTCCTTCTCACCTGGGACTTTCCAGAAACCACCAATCCCTACCGCTTCATTGTACGTCTTCCTTCTTTTTTTCTTTTTTTTTCATCTACTGTGTTGACCATAACACCACTTTAAGAAGCAACACTGTACATATTAACAGAGTTTTAGAGAGCTTAACTTTTTTGAGGCAGTTTCAACTAAATAGTTTAGTTTTAGTTTACTTTAGTTTTTGCATTCATTTTTATAAAAAACATAAYTTCTATATACAATAAAAATACAAATCATAAATGAAAGGCAGCAGAAGAAGAAAAAGTCTTATATCTGCCCCTTTTCTCGAAAATAATAAATTTAAACAAAATAGTCTTCAAATAGCAAAAAAATAACAACGAAGAAAATTAAATAAATAAGTAAATAAATAAATAAATAAATAAATAAATAAATAAATAAACTCCTTGAACAGCAACTCGTATAAATACACATTATACCATTACTTACGTATTTCTCCAACAGAGTAAGCTTTATCATTCTCTTAAATTGATTTAACGCCATCTTCCAGATTATTCCATAATCTTATTCCTAGGATTGAAGTACACTGTTCCTTCAAACTGTTTCTAAATGTAGGTTTAAAAAACTTCTCTGTCCCCTTGAGATTGTATCAGCTGTCTCTTTTAACAAAATTTAAATAAACGTTTACAGGTAATGTGCTTTTATGAGCCCTATACATAACTGATAAAATACCATAATCAACCAAATCATTGAACTTCATATAAGTATATTAAAGACCAAGTATTTCTTTCACCTGCCATTCCTTCCATCTTTCYCTCCAAAGATCATATTAGGGTGCAAAATGTGTTGCAGTCATTTTTGTCAAACCTTGTAGATGAAATTGAGCACGACCTCACCGATTTGTTAGTGCTCYGAGTTTGTGTTGAGGGTGATTATCAGCTACTACCACACCAAATMTTAGCTCAATATCTGTAAAACWGAGTTAAAGCRACTTARGTMTTCGCTAAGATCAATTAGTTTTGGCAGTGACCTTAAATTGGATTGACTCCAGGAATCCATTGATAAATTTCTGAAAYTTGCTTTTAAATCTGTTCAATGGTTTCATGAAATGTTTTGCTAACACAACAGAGCAACAAAGTCGTTCAAAACCTRAGTGTCCATTTGATTTTGGGATTGAGTCATAAAAACAAATATGTAACAATAAATGTATACTAGTAACTTTGCAATTGTAAATCCAACCATCCTTGATGTAACAAAAGAAAAYAGTTTGGAGGTGACTGTCTTCTTTTTCTTGGCTTGGCACAACTTTTTAGAGTTTCCACTTGTTGCTTGGCAACTGGAGTTGGTGATGAAGAAGTTTYGATTTGCATCCAACAGCACAACGTTGTTATTTTTGTACTTTATTTTATTTCATACATAACACAGTCAGTTCAGTTTCCTCTTCCTGCTTTCAGGTTTTATAATAGGATGGCAATGGCTCCATCATTTTCAGATAGAATTAGATTTTTTAAGAAAAAATTCAAATAAATGGATTTATTTTTCTTTTGAATTCAATCTAATTATTACATTAAATCTGGGCGGCTGTGGTGGAGTGGTTAGGGGAGCTGTCCTGTAACCCGAGGGTTGCTGGTTCAATAGTCGACGTTTTGTTGTACTATATAAGTTCAGTCTATTTACCAAGTGTTACAAGACGTTCCATTTAAAAAGCAGATAAAACATATGAAAATACACATATATATCTCTAGGTGGAGTACAACCGTCAGAAGATGGAGGTGGATGCTCGCCTGAAGAAGGCGGTCATCCCGAACCTTCAGCCTGACACCAGCTATGACTTTAAAATTACCGCTCCCGAAGGAAACATGGGAGGTCTTCGACACCGCATTACCGCCAAAACATCTCCACCAATCACCATCCGCCGCCCCGAGATCGACCACACCCGAGAAACTGAGACCACCGTCACAATCATCCTGCCCTCTCTGGAAACTCGCTCTCCTGTTAAGTAAGATTTTTTTATTATTGTTCTTTCACTCATTTGAGTGTTGTGTTGTAATCCGCTGAGTCATGGTTTCACTCGGTGCAGAAGGAGGAATGATGATTACGTTACATAAGATGTTAAAAGATACTTCCAACAAGCTGGCAAGGAAACCTGAACAGTTTGAGTGCAGCGGGCCTCATGTTGTTTTGCCTTCCTCTGCTTCTTCAGGAACGTTTACGTCGTTGTGGTTCCGCTGAAGAGAACCCGCGGCGTCATCAGGCAGCCCAAAAGTCCAGATGAAATGGACCTGGAGGAGGTGAGAACCACAGAGCCATAATCTGAGCCTGGAAGAAGGAAAATACCCCAAAATACCTAATTATTTGAATTCATTCTCAGTTTTGAAGGATTCTCCCTAAATGTTAAAAGTTTTCTTTCTTCGCTCTTTCTTCAGCTGTTAAGAGACATCAGTCAAAGGCAGAGGGATTCTAGACAGCAGAAGCAGGTGGACCTGAGGCGGGCTTACATCACGGCCCGCTTCACACCTGCCACCCTGCCAGCCTTCTTCACCCTGGGGGACCAGCTGGACTATGGGGGCTTCGAGAACCGAGCTCTGGAGCCAGGGCTGGAGTACGTCTTCTTCATCCTGGCAGAGCTGAACTCGACGACAGGGGTACAAAGTCACTCRTCGGCATCGCTCTTATTTCTGTTTACGAGCTCCCTCATTCCCCRTCCCCTCCCGCAGGCTGTCACTAGATATTGTGATCAATTTAGCCGCGCTGCTAAAACAATATAATTCCCGTCAGTCAAAGTGTTGTAGGCAAATGCAATAAGGCTCACATGCTTCCATCAGCACTGCTAATAAAGTGCGAGTTTACAGACTGTGGCAGTGGAAGAGATATTTCCTCTGTGCACGGCTGGTGTGTAAGTGTGTTTGAAGTGGAACAGGCATACATWTATAATGTGGAATGTAATAGATTTTAGAACGGAATAAAAACCCCAGGGTTGTTCTTCAAAGGTCCTTCGGAACTAATAAAAATGCATTCATTCGGCCCTCAGCAAGACTTAAGTTTTTTATACGGTTTGTTGTCACGTTTTTATACTGTAAAACCAGTCTGTGTCTGGTGTAATCCATCGCACCACTTCTATATTACAAATACAAAAAAAATTACAGCTCTGCTTCAGTGTTTCATTTATGAAAAACTGAATGATTAAGTTAGATATTTTTTATGAACATTTAATATCTGAGTATATATGAGTTTAATTCTGACCAGATTGACGAGCTAACCACTAGTCCGAATAGTTCCAAGTTCAAACTGGACTGCCATCATTAAACATTAAATRGTAAAAAGGTCATAGCGGGTAAAAGAACCACTATTTTATAAGCTTTTACATATATATTTCATAAAAATAGGATACTTCTGCAGGAAGTGCTAGAGAATTCTTTGTGAACAACAGTGAAACAGTCAATATGAAATTGGCAATGTTTAAATGTTTATGAAATAGTTTTGTTTTAGATTTGAACGTTTTTAAAACGGCAGAAGTCCACTTTGTTCCAGCTCTGATTAGCCGTTAGCTCATCAATCCAGTTAAGCTCTATTTCTCRGCCTGAGGCCATTTATAAATCTATCTACAGCAGGTAAGATATTGATTGGTCATAATGTCTCCACTTAACCACACTTCAAAAATATCTCTTTAAAACCTCATCGTTTGCAAAACTGTTATAATTGTTTCTAAGTRTGGGGGCTTTTAAAATTTTGCTATTGTTTTATTGTGTCTTAGCACGATTAACACAAGTTCAGTTTTTCTGATGAGTTCTTGTGATGTGTTCTGTTTTTGCAGAGAATGTACGTGGCCAGCCCTTACACAGAACCGGTGATCGCCCCGGACTCCGACCCCCAGCCCTTTGACGCAGGTGATGGTCTGATCTGGGTGGTCGGACCGGTCCTGGCTGTGGTCTTCATCATCTGCATTGTTATTGCCATCCTCCTTTACAAAAAGTGAGTGGGATGAACTTTATAAAAAAAAAATCAAATGTCAAGTTTACAACCACAGCGATGACTKAGACTGCTGGTCACACCAAGTAAATGCCAAAGCAGCTTTGATTTTCTTAGAAGATAAAACTGGTGTGATTTTAAGTTTATTTATTTGGTTTTTTTTATAATGTCAACAGCTTACATAAGAAGTGCTGGTAGTTTTCATTGCTTCCCATATTCCCCAATTTGTGCCTATTCAACAATAAAAAATAWATCTCATACTTTCTAGACCCCAAAATCTAAATCCAATTTCAAAAACATTATGTCATTATTTCATTTTAAAAAATGCAATGTTTGCTTGTTTCATAAACCCATCTACTGTAAGTATGTTTCGTGGCAAATCGTGCTGTCTTTGTTTTACGATTGATCTGACATTTTGTGTTGTAATGCTGCTTCTTGACCAGGWTGCCGTTGTAAATAAACTGACTTACCTGTTAAAATAAAGGTTTAGGRATCACTTATTCACAATGATGGAACATATCAAATGTTTAAAGTAAGAAATTGAACAATAATTAAAAACATATTCCAAATCTAATAAAAAAAACATCTCAATGGGACACGGGCAACAAAAGTCTGTAAAAATAGGTGGAATGTATGAATAAGAAACTATTGACAGAGCATTTTGCCACTAATTAGGTTAATTGGCAGCAGGTGAGTAAGAGGACCGAGTATGAAATTAGCATTTTAAAGAGGCTGAATCTCAGAAGTAAAGATGGGCAGGAATCTACAAATTCACAAGAAACTGCATCTGAGAACAGTGGAACAGTTTCAGAATAATGTTTCTTAATAAAACATTGGGCAGATCTTGAATATCTCATCCACAGTTCATACACAATGTCTCAACATTCAGAAGTCAGAGTTTTGTTTATTGTTTAGCTTTTCTCACCCCAAAGGTTCAAAATTCATTCCATTTCTTTCCGTCTCCAGACGTTTGCTCGGTCCTCAGACAGACATCAAAGTCCGAGCCTGTTGTAGTTCTGTGATATGTGCTGCAACTCGTTAAGCCTTCGAATACTAATGCAAAAATATTGATCTCCTTCTCTAACAATCTGTCTGTTTCCTCTCTTTTCCTCCTCTAATTATTCTCACTCCTGCTCCTGTTTCATGGGAAACAGCAAACCTGACAGGTAAGATTAAATCGATACGAAACTCTTTGGGTTTTATTTTAACTTACTTGCTAAACGTGATGGTGCACAGAGAATTTCCTACAAAGCCGTAAAACTCCGTGTGGAGTGATGCTTTGTTTGCTTGAAACAAGCTGATGATGTCATTTTTTTTCTAATCTTTACAATTTCCCTCTCTCCTGTGTGTGTCGCCGGCGTCCGAGCAGCAAACGCAAAGACTCGGAACCAGGAACCAAGAGCCTTTTGGGCAACGCGGAGATGATGGCCCATCACCCCACGGACCCCGTGGAGATGAGACGCATTAACTTCCAGACTCCCGGTACGAAAGCGTGCGCCCGCCCCAAACGACACGCGCTCTCGTATTTGCATGATAAAGTGTACTTCCGAGGGGGCTAATTTCATTCGGAAATGAAATATTCATGCAACTAATTTTGTCCTTGGTAAGATTATGCAGACAAGACATGAGAAAGCCCCCCCCCCCCCCACACACACACACACACACACACACACACCCACTGCCTCCTTTCCATCACAGCCGGCACAAACCTGGCGGCTTCCTGAGATTAAAATGGCTGCAGCCCAGGTAGTGCAGTCTGTGGTTTAGTCACGCCTGAGTCATAACGTCGTGTCAAGATCTCATCATCTCCGCTCGCCCACGTTCCACATGCCAGGCAGCAGGAATCGCTGTTAAGTGTTTAGACCTCAGAATTCTGTATCAAAATCGGCGCTCCGGGTTAACGCCTGTAAAGATGGGGTAAGGAAGGATGCAGAAAAGATGCAGGATTCTACCTACTGAGAACTAACGACAACGCTCGTCTGGGTTGCTGCTTCCCTTTCCCCCTTCTTCTATTCAAATAAGACTAAAAGGATATGTAACCAGTGTTCTTGTTATGTGCTTGCAGTTTACAGCAGAAGCGTCTCTGTTGAAAAGGTGTCAGCATCTGTCAGAGTGGAGAAAGGTTACCTGCCAGCGTACAAAAAGGTCAAATAAGACACATTCTTATGTAATCAATAGATAAAAGGCCTGAAAGTCTTCTGTTTTTTTACACGTTCTCGCTGAAGCAAAGGAAACCAACCGCAGCACCTCGGCTTCCTCTTTTGTCATCATAGGAGGTTTTTTTTTTCTTCTTCTCCTTGTGTGGCAGCAACCTTGAAACTCCTTCCTCGCCCACTTCTTCTCCCTGGAGATTTGTGCTTTCAGATGTTGAAATTTGTTTTCGAGCAGAAAAGGAAAAGAAGGGAAAAAGGACAAAAAGGAACTCAGGATGATGAGGAGAGTCTTTTTTTCTGAGGCCGTGACAGGACCAAACCCATGGATGCTGTGGGGTCGGTCCAGTCCAGAAGCAGGACGGCCGACTTAAAAGCTCCTCTGCGTTAATTTGAACTCTCAGGAAACACGAAGAACGCCTCTGGCTCCGGTGTTATAGATTTTTGCTCATTTTAAACACAGAAATGCTCCCTTGATTCATTGATGTAACCACTCACCTTTTTAGATGAGGATGGATTGCTTCACTTTCTCAAACGCCCGGCTGTGGAAAGAAATCATTGTCGGGGCCCATAGGTAGCTTCCTTTATGAGCGCACGTGTGTGTTTGTGTGTGTAACCCACCTAATTAGTGTTCCGTCTGGGTTTGTTTTCTCCGTGTCACTGCTCCTCTGATCACAGAGAAAGCAATTTATCAAAGAAAAAAACAATTTACAAACACACCAGACTCGCCCGGCTCTGTCCTCGCACGTGGATCAAAATTGATTTTCCGCCTCGGCGTGTTCCTTAATGACATGTGATGTCGTCTCATTGTATGATTATCGCCACGGCTTTTGCACGCTTAGCTCCTGTGGGTTTTTTTTTTTTTCGGTTATTGGGCTGAATTCTTTCACCTGACCTCTGACCTCTTTCCGTGTGTCATGCAGGCATGATGAGCCACCCCCCCATCCCGATCAGCGAGCTGGCTGAGCACATCGAGCTGCTGAAAGCCAACGACAACTTGAGGCTCTCCCAGGAGTACGAGGCAAGTAATGCATCATTGTTTTATATGCATAAATAAACAGACAACATCCTGATTGTTTGGAGATGTTAGGCCTGTTAAGCCTCATAAAGCAAATCTTATTTAATGTTTGTTTATCCGTGCGCAGATTAGAAGTTCATGATTTATTCAGCCGAGTGATTTATTGCTGTAACTTGACTGCATTACGGAGCGCTCTCATTCCATTACCCTGAAGCGCCGTTGTGCCGCCGCCGCCGCCGCCACTGCGCACTAAAAAAACGTGCCTTTTTGCTGTGTCTTCTGCAGTCGATCGACCCGAGCCAGCAGTTCACCTGGGAGCACTCCAACCTGGAGGTTAACAAGCCCAAAAACCGCTACGCCAACGTCATCGCGTACGACCACACCCGAGTCATCCTGGCTCCCATAGAAGGTGAGAGAGGAGGTGCTTGGACTCTGAGCTTATCTGATGTCAGGTGGGCGAAGATGAAAAGGAGTGACTATGGAACACCAAAATGTTCCTAAATAAATAAAACATAATGAAATATGTATCTATATGAACTTTAATAGATAAATATATAATGACAATGTATCGTATTTTCCAGACTATAAGTTGCATTTTTTGTGTAGTTTGGCTAGTCCTGCGGCTTATAGTCAGGTGTGACTTTTATAAGTTTTTTCCTCTTTGTGATACATTTTATGACTGATCCATTATTGATAATTCATACGGACTGACGTGTACGAAGGAGTAGAAATTACAGTCTGCAGCCTTGAGAGGGCGTTCTGGGCTAGTGGCAACTACGGCATGTGTTGTTCCTGTGCTGGTGAAAAAAAGAAATATGCAGCCCAAAATGGTAACCAAGCAGCAGGAAGAAAGTGTGGAGTAAATGAGAAACTTGAGAGGGACAGGCAGAAAACAGAGTTTACTTTTACTGCAATGAAGAAACCGGAGGAAGCTAGCCACGTGATGTGGAATGAAATTGGGAAACTTACCAGTGACTTGCTTGTCGGACTCGTTGGATTGTTATGTTAATTTAGGCTATTCGGCGTCCCAGTTGTGTTCTGTGTATTACTGTGTTATTCCAGATTAAATGTCTGTTCTTAGACTTTCTAACATAAATTTCTAAATAAATACAACTTATAGTCAGATGCGACATATGTTTTTTTCCTCTTTATGGCAAGTGTTTTGGAATGATACGGTTTATTTTATTTTATATTTATGTAGCGGTTTATAATCCGGAACATATGGTAATTGCAAAATTACTAAATGCTTATACAGTTCTAAGCTCATTATTATGAACATTTTCTATTCTCCTTCAAAAATGTGTTTATTAATATAAGTGTCAGTGGGTTGGACCTGAATGGCCACTGATTAGTTTTTCTGTATACCTGGTCACTGCACAGCTTGTACAGCTTGCAATGACTTGCTAGGTCAGTGGTCATGAAGGATGGCAGAGCTGCAGCTTTAGTTTGAGCTCCATACTACAGCCTTGTGCATAGGAGTAAATACTGCACTTTTAGGCATAATTCAATACTTTTGTCTGAGTAAAGGAGCAGCCAATCAAACAACTGGCTCCGCCTTGTATCTCTTGATTGACAGATGAAGTCATGTTGCAAAAAAGTGTCATTATAAAATAAATAAGCCACTGGGGAAAACACCTTTATAAAATCATATACGACTTTGTGAAAAAGACATTTTGGAATACTGGAATTAAATAAAATATCACTGTGAAATAATGTACTCATGACAATTTAACAAGACTTTGCTTATTAATAAATTAATCATTTCATTAATTTATTAAAAATAATTAATTAATTTTTAAGGAGAATAATGAGCTTAGAATTTCGAATGTATTCTATTATTTCACAATTACACATTTTATATATATATATATAATATTTATTCATAAAGATACTTATTTCAAAATGTTTTATTTATTTATTTATTTCTTTATTTAATTATGAACATTTTGGTGTTCCGTACATGATGGGTCTGAAAATGGCAAACGATGCTGAGGACCCACTGTGTGCAGTGTCATGAGACTGACAAACAGCGTGGACCCATCCAAGTGCATCAGCTCTTCTCCAGAACAAGAAGGGCTGAGTGTGTGTGTGTGTGTGTGTATGTGTGTGTGTGTGTATGTGTGTGTGTCTGCTCATGAATTTACATCAGCAGGTTCCTGCTTGTTTGCTGTCACGGTGAGGAAGTCTCTGCTGCCAGAAACAAACGTTACATCGGACTGTTTGACGTCGGACATGCAGGTTAATTTATCATATCACCTGTTCAGATTGCAGCTTAAAACAGGTTGATTTTTGCAGGAATCGTGGGGAGCGACTACATCAACGCCAACTACATCGATGGCTACAGGAAGCAGAACGCCTACATCGCTACACAGGGTCCTCTGGCGGAGACTTTCGGGGACTTCTGGAGGATGGTTTGGGAGCAGCGGACTGCGTCTGTCGTCATGATGACGCGCCTGGAGGAGAAGTCCCGGGTATGCAAACCAGGCCATTACCTACAAACCTGAAWACACTTTTCTTGTTATGTGGAGTACTGTTACACAGCGGCATGCTGTCTGCTCTAACTGTAGTTTATAATGTTTGGGAATGCGGGGTGGGATGGTGCTCCCGTCTGAAAATATTCAATGATATATTTGTGTTTTCTAACAGATAAAGTGTGATCAGTACTGGCCGAGTCGCGGCACAGAGACATACGGGATGATCCAGGTCACGCTGCTGGACACGATGGAGCTCGCCACTTTTTGCGTTCGCACCTTTTCCCTCCACAAGGTTAACACTTTTACTCCTCTTGGCTCCCTTTAACCACCATTGACTCTCACGTTCTGCCCTTCCCTCCTCCTAGTTCTTGAAAAGCTCCCCTGAGTTTACAGTTTTGGACTCAGGTGCAGCCGGAGCGCTCAAAAATTTCTGTCATCACTGAGCGAGTATTGTGTGTGTGTGTGTGTGTGTGTGTGTGTGGTTARACCCAGGCTGATAGATTAGTCCGGACACCAAAGCAGGCGAGCCTCCCTGAGTCAGGCGCAAAGATGGGAGTGACTGTTGGAAGTCGAGCGGTTTCTTCTAGCCTGGCTCGGGTCTAATCTCAGACCGTCAGGATGACACGTCCCTGTGGCCTACTTACGAACAGAAACTAGGCCAGCTGTAGCTTCACGGTGCAGCTCAGCTTCTCCAGATTTTTGTTGACATCTTGTGAAACATCAAGTTGGTAGAAAAGTTAAATAGTAAAAAAGTGATGCACTTTAATTAAAAAACAATCCTGCCATGTTTTATGTCTCCTTATACAGCTTAAGTACAGATTTTAAAAGAACAAAAATAATTTAGTAGTATATAT